GTAAACTTGATATTAAATTTACTTTTGTTTTGGTTATGGTGGAAGTTAGAGTTTAAAACTTCTTGTGATTTGGTTGTATTAAACCCTTATTTTTGTTGATTATGTTCTCTGAATTATGTTATGTGCATGTTATTTTTATTTTTATTTTTGTTGGGATTCATAATTTCATTTATGTTGTGCCATTCTCAATCTTTCCACATTTAAATAGCAGCAGCTTAAGTCCCAAAAAGTGAGAGAAAAAAATTTATTAGCGGGGTGGGCAAGGGGCACAATATTTCCAACGGGGTAGGGCTGGACATGAAAATCCAATCCGTCGCGGGTCGCGGGGCGGGCATGGACCTGATAAAAATTAAATGGGGTAGGGTGGAATTTAGAGAAACCCGCTCTAGCCCTGTTGCCATCCCTAAGTAGAACGAACACAATTCTCTCTCTCTCTCGGATGCGGCACAACCTTTCTCTCTCTTGGATGCGACAGAATGACCTAGAAGGTCTTAGATGCAGCATAATGACCTAGAAGTTTGCCCTATGGGCCATCTCTCTGGGCCTACTATGGCCATATGTTTTTTGATCATTTCTTTTTGGGCCTATTGACTATAATTGATTAATCTTTCAAAAATAAAAAATAAATAAATAAATATGAGATGTATGGTGGGACGAATTTAAATAGATTATATTTATGAATATAAATGAAAAATTGAGAAAAGAATAATTTTTTTTATATAATAATAAATTATACTATTATTTTATTGTCGTATTTTTGCCGTGTCCGTATCTTGTTTTTTTGAAATTTGTCGTATCGCTGTATCCGTGTCGCATCGTACCTGTGTTCCGTGTTTCATAGGATTTAATCTAATGGTTACTATAAAAAGTTCGAAAGAATTTTTTTGCTCCACGGGAAGTAAGAGATCACTACTCAAATACGTACATCTATGTTATATATATATAGAAATTATATAATAGCTACTATATATATATATATATATATATATATATCAATTAATCAATTCCTTTTAAATGAGACACTATATATTATTAATGTCGTGTAGTCAATAAATTTTTTTGTCCATCATTGCTGATATAATTCAATGTCAATTTATTATTATTTTTTTTTGGGTAATTAATTCATTGTCAATTTCAAACCACACTAGTAAATAATAAGTGATCTTTCCTATATGATTAACGGTATGTTCCGTACCGTAATTTTCAAGTAATTATTTTCTAATTGCAAATCTAAACCACCAATTTCAAGCTAATGAATATAGGCATAAATGACTTGGCTCGAAAAAAAAAAACAGAACAAAATAAAAAAATAAAAAAAAGGAGGTTTGGATTCAGTAATTATGCATAACGAAAATAGCCAATTTAATCAGACAAAAATTTCTCTTAGAAGAAATCGAAGATTATATGAAGCTGGAAGGTTTTGGTACAAATTAAGGAACAGATGTGCAAACTACAAGGAGGTCTCACCAACCGACCTTTTTTCTTAAGCGGCACATTAGTGGTATCATATCATGCTTCATTGCTTTGTATCGTCCGATATGTATTCCTTGTTTATTTGGCTTAATTTCATGCCTGCGACACGACTGGTTTGTTGTTTTTAGGACATGAATCTCCACGTGCATACAAAACTAATATATATATATATATATATATATATATATATATTAATTAGTGATGACGTAGAAAATCATCTTGTATGGTGGTCTATTGTATTCATATAGATTTCTTTATATTATTTTATGTGTTTTTCTTATTTACTTATTTTAAATACAGTCTAATGAATTCATAAATAAATTAAAAATAAACATTTCGAAACAGTGTTTTTAAAAGTCTTTATATAGCACATGTTTATATGTGTATATATTGCCCTAATTATATATTCTTCATGTTATCATAACCATACATATATTGCATTAATTATTATTCATGTTATTATAAGTTTATAACCATACATTTGAATGTCTATTGTATTTCGATTAGTATTAATTATACTTTGTATTATAGTATCATTTTAAATTAACTGTACCAGGTGTAGTTATTAGGGATTATTACAAATACATAAACTTTGGGATTCATATTTATCATTTGATGGAGTCAAAATCACAATCTTTCAAAAAAAAATTAAGTTGACTAAAATGCTGATGTGTATATGAAAAAAATACTATTCATTGTCTAAACGACCCTTATTATTTTTAGGGACAAATTGTGTAGCAGTCTTATCCCCTATTTGAAAAAGTGTACAAAAAACGCCCTTACTCTTTTCACATTGTGTAAAAATACCCCTCTGATATAAATTAGTGTTGTAATACCCGTTTTATCCTACTAATCTCATAGTATAGGGGTGTTATGTGCACATTATCTTATATATTTATTTTTTTTGAAACTTTTTTCTCTATATATATCTCTAAACATTTTTTTTTTTAAACTTTGAGAATTTATAGAATAAGGATTTGCATTTTTTTGAGATTTTAGTTTACTCTTTTCTACTAAATTTTATTTATTTATTTTTTTTTTCATACCAACACTATTTTAAAAAGAATTCTCAATATCAGTATACACTGGTTTTCGGAGTTTATAAAAATTTGTTTTTTTTTTTATTTATTTTTTTTAAAGTTTGGACTTTATTTTTATTTTTTATTTTTATCTTTACTTTTCGTTTATACTTTTATTTTTATTTTTACTTGTTCATTGCTATTCCAATGGTATCATTTTCGGTCAGTTTATTAATTTATTAATTTTTATATATTTTATAAAATGGTTCAGTAAGGGTAATTTAGTCAACTTAGGATTTAAATTTATCAGAGGGACCTATTTGCACCATATTGAAACTTTATGGGTGTTTTTTTTTTTTTTTTTTGCACGAAAGGGGCATCCTATAATATTGTATTTTTCAGTCATTTTATAAAATTATTTATTTTTATATATTTTATAAAATAGTTTAGTAAGAGTAATTTAATCAACTTAGAGTTTAAATTTATCATAGAGAACTATATGGGTGTTTTTTGCATGTGAGAGGTGTGATATGCACTATAAGTATACTTTAGGGGTGTTTTCTACATTTGACCCCTATTTTTGGGTACTATTTTTGTGTATGTAAGTACTATTCATGTGCAAAGAGGTAATACCACTCTTATGCACATATGTACCACTCTATGTGTACACAGGTATCATTTTTTGTGCAGACCATGTTTGCGTGTACAAAAAATGGTACATGATAACACGATCTGGACAAAAAATAGTATTTGCTTGCATAAAAGTGGTACTTACATATATAAAAGTGAAACATTAAAATAGTATGGGTAGCTTGCCCCAATGAATATGTTTTTTCATGTTCACGGTGTGGAGGGAAAAATCCCCCTCCAATAAAAGTTATCCACGTGGCTATAGTTGAAGCTTTATCTTCACTTCCTTTATGGGTTACAAGAGCCCAATCCTGTTCAAGCCCAGATAAAGGTACCCACAGCCCAAAGTCGCTAAGATTGAGTTTCCGGCCCATCAATGTTGACATTCGGACCTTTATACATTTGGCCCAAATTCATTACATTCAGTCTAGGCAAATGATTCAGCAAAGAAGGCAAGTTCTGTGCAAGGAAAGTTTGGCATAAAAGGAATTGTAAAAATGAAAGAACTCTGTTTGTAAAGAATGTTGTGTATGGGAAGAATTAGAGGACAAGCAATGCGAGTCCTACCATAATTCTACCACCTTTTTGTGTATAAATAGAGGCCTAGACCTCCAATAAAATCATCGAGCAATTTACACTTGTCTCTAAGCATTATAATTGCTTGTTCTGAGTGAGTTGTATTTTTCTTTTTATTCCTTTTAAATAGAGAGAAATTTTGCACCTACACTTTGGCGCCATCTGTGGGAATCGTATAGAAATATACCCCCACTTTTTCAAATTGTTTCTGTTACTACGATCTGGAATGTCAAACAGAGAATTTGCAGCAGTGGTTGATCAACAGATGGAGTTGATGCAAAAAATGCGAGAAGAATTTTTGTAGCAATTCGAAACACTTTGTCAGGCGAACGAAGCCAGTGTAGCTCAGATTGCATTGCTTCAACAGTAAAACGACACCCTTCAAACAATAATGGCTCAGTTGAAATCATAGCCGCCAACAGTTAATGTGACCGCAACTCCCCTAAACCAAAAGGCTCCTCCAGTTAACGACCCTCAGGTCAATAGGGCGTAGCCTAATGAGGCTCTGCCGATCGAAGTTCAGCAAGAGCAGAGGACAAGGTCCGGGCAGTTGCTTCAAATAATCTTCCTCGTTGCACGCAGGACAACACAAGCCAAGTCCAGCTATAAGCTTACGGTATGGTCCAATGGCATTCCAAATGGCGCAGGCGTACATGAGGCCTTTGACGAAAAAAGGCTCCTGAGGATTCAGACGCCTGTTGAGATCGCCAGAGAGCATAAGAACTCATTAGTGAAGACTCCATTCACCGATGATATATACATTGTCGAAAGACTAAAGAAGTTCGCTATGCTTTCCTTCACCCAGTTCGATGGCACAGGGGATCCTTCTCGTCACCTCGATCACTATGCACAAAAGATGGCTCTAGACGATTACAACGATCCGTTCATGTGTAAGGTTTTTCCGACCAGCCTGATAGAAGCTGCATTGGAATGGTTCAGAAATAGGCCACACAAGTCTATCCCGAACTATGAAACTCTTTGCACCATGTTCTTAGTATAGTACTATGGAAATAAGAAGTAAAAGAAGAGTATTGCTAACCTTTTTACCATAAGGCAAAAGAAAGGAGAAACGTTACAAGATTTCTTGTCCAAATTTAACATAAAGGCCTCGGAAATAGCAGATTGCCATCCTGCGACTATAATAGAAACATTCAAGCTTACAATGATCCAGGGAACCAAGTTCCATACCTTCTTAGTGAAATATTCCCCTCCGGATATGCAAACTCTCAATGCTAGGGCACAGATCTACATCCAACTTGAAGAGAATGTAGCCCACCGAGCGCAGCATGCCATCTCGTCACAATGGAGAATAAGCCTTGGGAAAGGACGTCAAACTCAAAAAGTCAGAGAGCCAGCATGCCTCATCACTGGTCACTCAGGTACCTGAGAAGAGGCAAAGGATAAAGGAAAGGTTCACACCTCTCCGCACCACCTTGGCTCGGTTATTCCAAGAGAATAAGATGAAATTCACAGTCCCTCAGCCCATGAAGTAACCTTTGGAGCAGAGGGATAAGAACAAGCACTGTGCCTACCATAGAGATTACGGGTATACAACTAATGATTGCAGATCCCTTAGGCGGCAAGTGGAGAATATGATAGTCAGAGGTGAGTTGACAGACTACCTCACAACAAATGAGTACATGAAGCCTCGGGAGGCCAACCCTCGGAGAATAGAAGGTAATCAAGTAAAGGTCATCCATGCAATACATGGGAGATTAGAAGACAACCAAGAGTCAAAAGAAGTATATAGATCTAGGCTAAGGGCAGCTCATAAGCTAAGAAAGTTGTCCTCGGTGAACGCTATCACCTCGGGCAGCATCAGTATTGGGTTCGGTGATGCGGATTTATCTAGGGTTCAACTCCCTCACGAGGATCCACTAGTCATCAGCCTTCTGGTGGCAAACTGCATGATTAAAAGGGTTCTGATAGATCCGGGTAGTAGTGCCAATATTATCACAAAGGCGGTCTTCGAGCAGCTAGAGATCCCATCATCATCAATCTGTTCCACCTCCAGTCCCTTGATGGGGTTCGATGGAACGAAGGTAGACCCCCTTAGGGTTATTGATCTATCTGTTACTACGGCAAAAAGAACATTGAAAGAGAACTTTGTTCTAACAGAGATACATCTTTCTTATAATCTCATTATGGGAAGAGGCTGGATTCATAGAATGAACGGGGTCCCGTCTACCTTTCATCAAGTGATGCGATACTTATCTTTGGATGGTAAGGAGGTTATTAATCTCTGGGCAGATCAAGTCACTACCAAAGAATACTATATGTTGATGCAGAGTGAGGCAAAGAAGATAGTTAAGTAGTTTCAGCCAGCGGCAACTCTCGAAGGCAGGTCCAAATAGCAATTACAAATCCTTCTGCCCAAGTATTGAAAAGCAGAGGATGAAGCTGAAGCTACAAAGCCTACCGAGGAATCTCTTGAGGCTGTTGAAGTAATCCTCGGCGATCCCTAGAAAGTTGCCTATATAGGCTTTTCCTCCACATTCGAAGAAAAGGAAGCATTAATTAAAGTCATTCGACGAAACGCAGATGCATTTGCTTAGGATCATTCAGATATGGTAGGTATCGATCCTTCAGTCTCATGCCATAGCCTGAAGGTGGATCCGACGTTCAAGCCAATCAAGCAAAGACACAGAAGGTTCGCTCCTGAATGCAATCGAATTATTGCTGAAGAAGTAAACAAATTGCTTCAGGCGGGCTTCATCCGAGAAGTGCATTATCTACAATGGCTCTCTAATGTAGTAGTGGTTCAGAAGAAAAATGGGAAATGGAGGGTGTGGATAGATTTTACCAATCTCAACAAAGCTTGCCCCAAAGATAGCTTTCCACTACCCAAAATAGACCATATGGTTGACGCTACAACTGGTTTTGAGAGACTCACATTCTTTGATGCATATTCTGGCTATAACTAAATCCCTATGAATCCAGAAGATGAAGAGAAAATTGCCTTTATAACAGAGAAAGGCACCTACTGCTACAGAGTTATGCCTTTCGAACTCAAAAATGCTAGGGTAACTTACCAACGCCTTGTTAACAAGATCTTCGACGAGATGTTGGGAAAGACGGTCGACGCCTACATTGATGACATGGTGGTTAAAAGTGTGGAGAATGAGGAACATCCTAAGCACCTTCAAGAAGTCTTTGACACTTTGAGAAAGTATAACATGAAGCTGAACCTTTGAAGTTCTCTTTTGCAGTTTCTTCGGGGTAGTTCCTCGGCCATATCGTCAACAAGAGAGGAATCGAGGTAAGTCTGGCCTAGGCTCAGGCTCTAATGCAAAATCAAGAACCAAAAACTCGCAGGGAAGTACAGGTTCTGACTGGCCGAATCGCAGCTCTTAGTCGCTTCATCTCTCAGTTATCAGATAAATGCAAACCATTATTTGATGTAATAAGATCCAAGAGCAAAGATATATGGGGACCTCAACAACAAACTGCTTTTAACCAATTTAAATGTTACATGGCTGAACCTCTAATTCTATCAGCTCCGAAGCCTGGCGAGACTTTCATTGTGCATTTAGCAAGCTCCGACATAACTACAAGTGCAGTACTGATCAGAGAAGAAGGGAATAATTAGTATCTAGTCTTCTACACAAGTAAGACAATGACAGATGCCAAAACACAATACAACAAAGCTGAGAAGATCATACTAGCACTAGTGTATGCAAAGAGGAAGCTTTGACACTATTTCGAGTCACATAGCATTGTAGTCTTAACCAACTACCCCATGCGAGTTATTCTTTCCAAGCCAGACTTGTCCGGAAGAATAACTAAATGGGCAATCGAACTCAGTTCCTTCGATATATCTTATGAGCTGAAAGTGTCATACAAAGGACATGCATTGGCCAACTTCCTTCTTGAGTATGAAGATAAGCTCGAAGAGCCAGACCTTCCTGAACCACAATGGGAGTTTCGGGTAGATGGTTCCTCGAACCTAGTTTGTGCCGGGGCCGGAGTCGTTATCACAACCCCTGAAGGCACCAAGCTGCAACAGTCAATCCGTCTAACTTTTCCCACTATTAACAACGAAGTCGAGTATGAGGCTTTGCTCGCTGGGCTTCGATTAGTAAACCAGCTCCAGGTAAGGTGTCTAAAGGTTTTTAGTGATTCCCAACTTGTTGTCAATCAGGTGACAGGCAAATATCAACCCAAAGAAGAAAGAATGAAAGCATATAAGGAGGCTATGGAAGGTGCTACATAAGGATTTGATCAGATTGAATTTCATCAAGTGCCTTATGATGAGAACTCTGAAGCAGATCAATTAGTTGCCGCAGCATCTTCTTCAGATGAAGATTTGGTTCGGATAGCACCAATTGACGTCTTGGATGAACCTAGCATAAGCCCTCGGCAGGAAATAATGGTGATCCCAGAAATTCCACGAGAACCATGCTAGATGGATTTGCTGGAAGCTTTCCTCAAGCATGGAACGTACACTCCCAAACTAGAAAGCTGAGGCGCGGAAACTCAGGCTCACCACAGTCAAATACTCTATTATCAATAATCAATTGTATCGGAAGTTATGCTCAGGTCCTTACCTCAAGTGTTTAAGTCCTACTGAGGCCCTCACAATTCTGAAGCAAATCCATGATGGGGACTGTGGCAACCATTTCGGGGGTAGATCCTTAGCACATTAGGTCCTTACTCAAGGTTATTTCTGGCTGTACTTGGCTCAGAATGCTGAAGAGTACGCTCGAAGATGCGACAAATGCCAGCGACATAGTTCAATAAAACACCGGCCTACAGAAGACTTGCACGCAATGGCGAATCCATGGCCATTCGCACAATGGAGGATTGATATGGTTGGACCATTACCCAAAATTGTGGAGCAGAAAGAATACGTGTTGCTAGCCACGGATTACTTCATAAAAAGGGTGGAAGCAGAGGCTTATGCAAGTGTGACCCACGAGCAAGTAAAGAGTTTTTTATGGAACAACATAATCTGTCGGTTTGGAGTACCAAAGGTTATCATGATGGATAATGGCCCGAACTTGGACAACAAAAACACAAGAAAATTCTTTGTCGAGCATGGGATCAGGTAAAAGTTGGCCACGGTTAGCCATCTGTAGGGAAACGGGCAGGCCAAAATAACTAACTGAACTATTTTTAGTTGCCTAAAGAAAAAGTTGGAGAAGCTTAAGTCAAAGTGGTACGAGAATCTGCCTCAAGTACTGTGGGCATATTGAACCACCCCGTGAAGGTTGACGGGCGAAAGCCCCTTTGCCATGGCCTATGGGTCTGAAGCTGTCATTCCCACGAATTCAGCAGTTCCTACTCTTTGGACCCATTTGGTGCTCGAAGGGAACAATGATCAGCAATTTGAGCCTCGATCTCTTGGAAGAAAAGAAGGATGCTGCGGTGATTAGACTCGCTTCGTACCAACAACAGTTGCGTAATAATTACAATAAGCGAGTCCGGTTCAGAAGTTTTGTGGAAGGTGATTGGGTGCTGAAGCAAGAGACAGTCCATGTTAAAAAATTATAACCCAATTGGACTGGACCCTACAGAGTCACAGAAGTAGTAGGGAAAGGAGCTTACTAGTTGGCTGAAGCTGATGGGTGCCCAATTGCACGTCCATGGAATGCAATACACCTAAAAAGGTATTATCATTAGACAATATGGTTTATTTATTATTATTTTATTTTACAAACAGTATACATCTGTTTTTTTTACAAATATGGCTATTTCTAGGCTTACATTATAAAAGTTTCTTGAGTACTACACGTCTTTACTCTTTTTATTTTAGTAATATGGGATATTACTTGTTGCTGCTTTCTTTTTCATCATAGGGGGCAATACATATACCCTACTGTTGATATTACGACAAACGAAAGATATTATCACAAACAAAGCAAAGCTATATTTTTTGCAAAGTTATATCTTTTACAAAGTAAAGCTAAATTTTTTGCTTATTGATTGTACTTGCAAGTCTTTTTACATGGAAAACGTGCTTTAGAGTGCATGTGTATTGCAAATGAATGCTTATTGGACATTTAGGCTGTACTTAAATCGTAGACCCTAAGGCTTTTTGCAATATTTTCTCTTATTTCTGGGACATAAACTGCAAATGTATATCATATTGTGGTCCCACATCGGAAAAAAATACCTCTATACATTCATTTATATAGGGAAATATTAAAGTATTTGAGTGCATTGCAAAGAGGGCCCACTGGTAACAGTAACGGCCCAGCACAAATTGTGTTCAAAAGCCTTGATACCAGTGTGCAATCTTTGCAATAATTCTTTTTTCAAACACACCAAGTTTTTGGCCCATATTGAGTTCTATTCTTTGTCCCACATCGAATAGGAATACAAGAGGTGTATAGTTAATATAGAGTTAGCACACCACATTTGGTTGCCACGAAGAAAGTCTCTGTGGAAGAAAGTCTCTTGAACAAATGTACGGGAGACTTCTCAGTTACAGTTACTCTCTTTCTTGGCCTCATGTCATTTTTGAATCTTCGGCTAATCTTGCATACTTGGTAAGTTTTCTAGATTCGGCCTCGGACCTTAGAAGTCTGGCACAATCTAGTTCTTCTCAGGCTCATAGCCGAGGAGCATATCACTTTAGACCTCAAGAGTTCAACACAACCCAGTTCTTCTCAGGCTCATAGCCGATGAGTATATCACTTCAGACCTCAAGAGTCTGACACAATCCAGTTACTCTTAGGCTCATAGCCGAGAAGCATATCTCTTCGGACCTCAAGAATCTGACATAATCCAGTTCCTCTCTAGCTCATAACCGAGGAACATATCGCTTCAGACCTCAAAAGTCCGACACAATCCAGTTCCTCTCAAGCTTATAGCCGAGGAACATATCGCTTTGGACCTCAGGAGTCCGGTACAATCCAGTTCCTCTCAGGCTCATAGCCGAGGACCACATCGCTTCGGACCTCAAGACTCCGGCACAATACTCTCTCAAACTCATAGCCAAAAAGTGTATCGCCTCGGACAACACAAGTCTGAGGCTACATCGATAGGATTTTGAGCCTAGGTACGGGCAAAAATTCTATGTGGCTGCCACACCTTTAGGCCCTTATACTTGGCCCAATAACAAGTTACCCTTGGAAAATTTTATCCCACATCGAAAGTAAATAGAAAACATGAGTGCAATATATAGTATAATCCCGCACTCATAGTTCGCTAAGAAAGGTGCCCCTTGATAAATAGATCTTCAAATGAAAATCAGAAAATCAACATATCAAGGGACCTTCTTTCTTGAGCCAATCCTTTTCAAAATCTTCAGATCACATGATACGAATACTACATTAAAAGGTTGAAACCCTCAGAGCATATTCCTCCAAGA